AGAAAACCAACTCAAACCTGACAGCTCCAAAACTAAGTGTTTAGCCGTTTTGAACTATGCGTTGTCTATTCGTTCCCTTACTTTTCAAAACATCTCAAACATACTCCAAATTATAATATCGAAATAAGAAAATTCAGAAGGAGATGAAGAAGAAGAAGAACAAGCAACCGACGCAGAAGTTAATGATGATCGACGAGTACAATTACAAAACGTTGTTATCCGGATGTTGAGTGAAACTCATATACCCTTATTGTCAAAATTATATGATGCAATGAAACATTTACGAGTGAAAAGGAAATCAAAATCATTATTAACATCATCGTCGTTATTACAACCCGTTTCAGCTCCTAATGGTCGATCATCAGTTAAAGTCCCATGGTTTCGCAATGATATAAGTGATGAAGAAAGTTTATTAGTAACAGCTATTAGTGATATATGTCAATTAGTGGTTATCCAACCTAGGGTTATCCAATCACTACTGGAATACACTGAAATATTTGGGGACTGGAATTACTTATGGCCATTTCTGGTGCCTTGAGCACAGGACTACACTTGAGTAGAAATGCTGGCTCAATGGCAATGGCAGTGGCAGTACCGGAACATTGGCTAGCAATGTAAGAGACATTTGTTTTGTTCGAGATGAACGTGGAAGTTCATCTTGTTTTATGGGGGGAGGTGTTATGGCACGTACATGCCATAAGAGACAATTGTATAATAGTCATATGTATATTCGTCCTCTCTTCTTCTTCTATGGGTATTTTCTCTTCCTGTCATATATGTATCTGTATTGTTCTCTTTCTTTTTGTCAGGGAGTTTCCCAGTAATATCTCTTGATTTCGTTCTGTACTGTTTCTTTTCTTCAAGAGATATTCCAATGTATTCTTGTAGCTCTGGGGTATAACCCACCGTTTCCGTTTAAGCTCAGATATAAATAGCTCCTAATTTTATGTAAAGAGCATCTTTTCAGTAACTAAATAAACTACATATACACAACAACGTATACCGGACCTAACAATTAAACGCCAGTGGATAGAGGATTGAAAACTGAACATTTATTAGCGTCGACTTTTCGACTCTTTTAGAGTCATTATCAAGATAAAGTTAAAAATTCGCAGAAAATGAAACAAAGAAAGAACTGTAGGCAATATATAACATTCAAATGAACTATATTTTTGACAGAACAATGACAGATCAGACCACTATTGAATAGTCCGTTATTGATCAGAACGTTCTGATAAATAACATCATCACGTCGAACAAAACGGTCACATCGGCTACTGTAATTATCTATCCTGAGAGACTGAAGGTGTCGAAACCAATAGAAAATATGAAAGGTCGCAATAATCAATCGACCACGGGGTCTGAGTGATGTTATTTATCGTTCTGATCAACAACGGACTGTTCAATAATGGTCTGATCTGCCATTGTTTTGTCTAAAATATAGTTCATTTGAATGTTATTTATTGCGTACAGTTCTCTTTCTGTTTCATTTTCTGCGAATTTTCAACTTTAGCTTGATAATGACTCAAAAAGAGTCGAAAAATCTGTAAAAATGCAGAACTGGAAAATTTTAAGATGTAAAAATCAAAAATTCTAGGATTGTAAAATTCTAAAACTCTAAAAATGTAGAAAGGTCAAATTTCTAGAATAAACAAACATTCCAGGATGTTCATCGCCACTGATAACTCAATCATCTTTCTGCGCAAATTGTTATCCGTCAACGAAAAATCGTAACCTCTACTTTGCAAAATTATTTATCGAAGTGGTCAGAATAGTGGGTTTTGCACTTAAGGGCCCCCCCCCTCAGAAATGGTGATTTTCGGCCAAAAGATCGATTTTGAGATACGCACATAGAAAGATAGCCCGAAGTGTCTGCTTTCAGAATATATACGATTGGATACTATATCAATGGTTTTTGAGGGAGTTTTCAGAGGTTTTCTGCGGACCTCTATATAAAACCTAAGGTAGGCAATCGATTTTTGAATAACTCAGAGATCATAAAAGATGGAGACTTGAGGTTTTCAGTAATCGAAAGAAGACAGCTTAGCCTATATGTTTATAACCACAGATGGATTTTAAAAGGTTCGGAGTCCGGTTTTTCGGGGGATCTTTGGAAAACTATTTCACAATACCAAAATGCAACGTAGTAATATTTCACCTTTTACATGGTTAGATAGCCCAAAGTGCTCTGTACAAAATCCAAGCTAAGCTACCTTTACCTTAGTCTTTCGTGGTTTAGGCGTGGCATCAGGTTTTCTTAAAGCCTCAGGATCGATATTTCGTAAAAAATTCAACTTTTTTTAACACATAGCTCAGCTCAGAGAAGAGATGGAAACTTGGCTTAAACGCCAGTGGATAGAGGATTGAAAACTGAACAAATGTAGGGGTTTGACAATGTTCCCGTTTTATATGATGTTGGTTTCTATGGGTTTTTCTAAATTAGAAGCAAAAAAATCGAAATTCTGCTCGTATTTCTCAACTTTCTCCAACAGAACTCACCGCTATGAAATAAAAATATCATATTCGAAACCAGGATCAAAAATCGAATCGATTAATATGTATCTCTATCCTATCGGAGTATTTTACATTTTCTCAAATTTTCACGATGTAAAATCGTCGAGGTTTTCACCAAAAAAATCAGAATCAAGTAAAAAAAAAACCATAGAAGCCAACACCACATAATATGGGAACGTTGTCAAACCCCTACATTTGTTCAGTTTTCAATCCTCTATCCACTGGCGTTTAAGCCAAGTTTCCATCTCTTTT